CTTCTTTGGGTTCAGCCGAAGGCTAAACTTCTGCATGATGGCGAAGATCTCCCTCAGGTCATCAGCATGGCTTGCTGATTGCTTGCTCTTGACGATCATGTCGTCAACATACGCCTCCATGGTGCGCCCTAGGACAGCTTGGAATACCCTGGCCACCATCCGAGTGTAGGTGGCACCTGAGTTCTTTAGGCCGAAGGCCATGACAAGGTAGCAGAAGATGCCCTCGGGAGTCATGAAGGCCGTTTTTTCAGCGTCCTCCTCATGCATGTATATTTGATGATATCCGCGGAATGCGTCGAGGAATGACATGATTTCACATCCTGCGGTTTCATCCACAAGTTGGTCAATATTTGGCAAAGGAAAGGGGTCCATGGGACACGCCTTGTTGAGATCTGTGTAGTCCATGCACATGCGGAATGAGGGCGGTTTCTGTGCGAGGACTACGTTTGCCAGCCATGAGGGGTACTTCAGCTCCTTGATGTGCTTGATAGAGAGGAGCATGGCGACCTCCTTCTTCACAAATTCCCTCCTTTCGGCCGAAAGGGGTCTCCTCCGCTGCTGTACTGGTTTGGCCGAAGGGTCCACCGAGAGGCGGTGGGTGATGACCCTTCGGCTGATCCCCGGCATGTCCTCCGGCCCCCATGCAAAAAAAATGGAGTAGGCGCGGAGGGCGCTGATGATGCCGGTCTTCAGGTTTTCGGGGAGCTTGGCTCCAATCTTCACGACTCTCTCCGGCTTGGCCGGATCGAGCGCGAAGTCTTCTACCTCCTCGGCTAGTTTAGCCCTCGGCCTCCTGTCCTCCGCTTCTATAGTTCCGGTGATGGTGTCAACGCGGAACTCCGTCTTGCTAACCTTCTTTGTCACTTGAAGGTAGCAAGCGCGGGCAAGTTTTTGGTTCCCCCTTGAGTAACCGATTCCCCCCTCGGCTGGGAACTTGAGGCAGAGGTGCCTCATGGAGATGACGGCTTCGAGGTCCTCGAGGGCTGGTCGGCCGAGGATGATGTTGTGGGCGTAGTCGATGTTGATGACGACGAACTCCACTTCGAGCTTGGCTCTATGGAGGCCGTCGCCGAAGATTACCGGGAGGGTTATGACCCCCCTCAGAATTAATGGTGTCGCCGGTGAAGCTGGCAAGAGGGGTCTTGATGGGCCGAAGGGACCCCCTCTCCAGATGCAGCTCTTTGAAGGTGCTGAGGTACATTACATTGACGGAGCTGCCCGTGTCAATGTAAGTTCTGTGAATAATAGTGTCGTTGATCTCTGTGCGGATGACGAGGGCATCCCTGTGTGGGGAGGATACTGGGGGGAGATCAGCGTTAGTGAAGATAATGGGTTCCTCCCTCAGCCGCTTTACTTGGGGCATATGAGTGACTTCCCCCACGTAAAGTGATTGAGCCCACTTCTTTCGTTGACTCGTAGAATCACCCCTGGTATTTCCCCCCGTGATCATGAGGATGTGGCGTTTCTTTTCTTGGTACCGGAGGTACTCCTCCCCCTCTTCCTCCAGATTTCCAATCTCACTCTTCTTGCCGAGGGGGATGGTGTTGGGGTTGACCCATGCATTTGCTCTCGCAGTTTTCCCTCGAGTTGGCCCTTGGTGTGGGGGGCCCTGTTGTTGAGGCCCCTGGACAAACTGGGACAGATGGCCCGCTTGTATCAATTTTTCGATGGCCGTCTTCAGTTGATGGTAGTCATCGGTCTTGTTCCCCTGGTGTCGGTGGAAACGACAGTAGGGGTAGTTTGGATTGATGGCAAATACCTCCGGGTGTGCGCGTGAATCTCGCTCCACTAGGCTCCTCTCCTCAGCAAAATCAAGAATGACGCTGACGGGGTGCGTCAAAGGTGTCCGAGGGTGCTCCAGGAGAACAGGCTGCGCCCAAGCCCTCGGGTTCCCCTTGTAGCCTCCCCCGGGCTTGGATTGGCCATGCCGGGGGCGATCACCGGAGGGGGCAGAATCCTTGGGATGATTGCAGGGAGCCCCCGGCCCCCGGTTACCTCTGTCGTCTGGCCGAGGGCGCTGCTGATCTGGGACGAGGTGGCATTTCTCCACCTCCTCAGCTTCGGCGTACCGGTCCCCCCGCTATAGGGCCCTTATATAATCGCAGGGGGGTTCGATGATGAGGCTTCTTGAGAAGTTCCCGGGGCGGAGTACTGTTTGCAGGAGGGCCAGGAGGGTCCCTCGTCAGCGCCATCAACTTTATCAGCCTCCGTCCTCCAGCGCTCCAGGAAGTCCCGAAGGGTCTCCTCCTTCTTCTACCTCACTGTTAGCAAGTGGGAGAAGTGTTTCCTTGTGCGGCGTCTTCCCGCAAATTGCGTCAAGAATCGCTGGACGAGTTCTTGCCATGAGTCAATGCAGCCCTCGGGCAATCGATTGAACCATTCGTAAGCCGGCCCCTCCAAGGTGGAGAGGAACCAACGGCACAAATATTCATCCGATGCCCCCACTATCATCATGCTGTTTTGATACCTGTTGTAGTGTTCTTGGGGATCAGTCTTTCCGTCGTAGGGCTTGATGAGCTGCCCTCGGTATTTTTCCGGGATCGGGCCGCCAATACCCTTGGGGTGAATGGCGTCCGGGTCCGGAGTTGTATGGTGGGTTCCCCGGAGCCCTCGTCTATCTTCTTCTGCATTTCCTCCATCTTGGCCAACATTGCCTCATACTTGAGGACTGCATGAGGGGCAGAATTGGTGGCGTGGGCCTTGGTGGCCTCTATCTCGTCGAGCCGACGCTGGAGGGCCGCAATAATTTCGTCCCGGGGGTCCTTCGGGAGAGCCTCCGCCCCCTGCGAATGGACCCGGGCCGAGTGGGCCTGGTTGATTTGGTGGCATGCGTCGTCGACATGGAGAGGTGCCTTGCCTTTGTCCTGAGGGGGACGCCTTTTGTTGGCCCTGGAGACGGACCCGCCACTTTCCTGAGGCCTCCGGAACGCCTTCCCCCCGAGGCGGTCTTGGACCCCTCGGCGGTCTTGCGCCCCTCCGAGTCTCTCGAGGGCGGAGGTCCGGAGTTGTTCCTTGTTTACGTTGTGGCGGTACCGGGGCTGGACTTCCTGGGAGGCCGTATCTTGGGCCACGACCCCCTCGGAGTTCCCCATCTAGAGGACCGGGTTACCGAGGAGTCGTGGATGAGGGGGAGGCATAATATTCTCCCCGACCTTAGGTTGGTGGGGAACCAAAGTGCCGAAGGCACCCGGGTTCTGGGTGAGCGTCTGGATGAAGGCGGAGAGCGCCGATTGCACGTCGATTGTGATGACCGGAGGGCTAATTTGATTCTCGCTCCGGTCCTTTTTCTTGGCCTCGATGCCGAGGCGGGCATCAGGGGCATTTTGTTGAATCTGCTGGCGTAGGTCGACAGCCGTCTGGTCCAACCCGACGATGACGCCTCCCCTGGGAACCCTGTTGGAGGCTTCGGGGACGTCGACCTCGCCGAGGGCCAGGTTCCTGTCCTCTACATTCTTGGAGTTGGCACGAGTTGTTCTCACCATTTTAGCTGGGTGTTTTGTGTTTGGTCGAGGGGGAGGGTTTCTTACTTGATTGTTCGACCTCTCAACGAGAGCACCAAATGATGGATAGTGTACCCGGGGGTAGCTTATCCGAGGGGTTATTGCGGAGAATAACTAGAGAGAAGTCAGAGCAAATAAGTAAGAGAGAGAGTGTATATTCGATATGTATTCAGCGTTTTCAGCGTGTTGTGTCTTGTGACTTGGTTACAAATGGGGAAATGGGGCGCTATTTATAGTAGTAATAAATGCCAAACGGGGACACGTGTCAAGCGTCCATTGGCCGAGAGGTCACCTCAGCTGGTTGGTGCTGGCAACCGCATGTGGCCGCATTTAATGCGGCTGTTGGATGGGACGTTGTACTGGGTACGGTGATTCATACGTATGTGGAGCGGATATTATGTCGGAAAATGTGCCCTCGGCTGTAGATGACTAGCCGAGGGCTCTGAGTACCGGGGACCCCCTTAGTGTCGAGGGCTCCAGTTGCCGAGGGCTACTGATTTTCGCCGTTTTCTCCCAGTAACTTTGTTTTCCTGTTTTGACCTTCCTGTGAGAATCAGAGCCTTCGGCCAGGGGCCGAAGGCACCCCTAGTGCGCTTTGTGGGCTGCTCGGTACCTTGGGCGCCGTGATTTGGGCCTGTTGTGCTTCCTGGGCCTATTGGGCCTTTATTGGAGTAGTAGGAGTCTGTGGGCCGGGGGTTCCCGGGCCATATACTCCATCATGTCTCAATAGAATTTCATTAAAGATATGTATATGAAGTATTTGTTATGTTTTTATATTATTTAATCAAGTGGTTTTAAATGTCATTGTATATTTACTTTGAAACTGATGGAGTATATATTTTAGAGAGAATTGAGAGCTAGAGAGAGAAGTGCAATTACTACTGCAATAAATGAATTTTTGAACCCCTACAACTACTCCCAAGGGGAGTATTTAAAGAGGAAATGTGGGCTGGGCTCCCAAGTCTTGGGCTTGGGAAGCCCATTTACAATGGGGCCACTACTGGGCCGAGTACAAAGTATGTAGAAATGACTAAGTATAAAATCCGGCTATGTGAGCTCTCTGTGGCCGAAGGGGGTCTGGCTGACGGAGCCACAGCCGACGGAGACCCGGCCGACGGAGACACCTGGTTCTCCTTACTTCTTGATCATGTTCTGAGTTGATGTCTTTCTGGATGATGGAGGACCATCTGGCCGACAGAGGTCCCACTGAGTGACAGCTGTGCTCTTTATTCTTCAAAGTATGTGGGTCCTGGGGTCTAGACCCATATACTCCATCAGAAACGTTCACATTTGGATTAAATCAATCCAGACGAGGGTGACAGCCTATCTAAGTAATCACTTGACTGAAAAGGGATAGAAAAAGATAGACTATGTCGAAGATATAGACATGGTATGTGCTCATATTAAAGAAAATGAGAAATATTAGATACTTGAAAGTCATAATTGAGATAAAGGATCTTGGGAAACTCGGGTTGTTTTGAAAACACCGAGTTGGTTGAATAATAATTCACCAGTTGCATACATCCAAAAGAGTTCTCAGACAAATTAATATGGATAAATGTAAACTATTAGCACTCCCATGATTGGTCGAAATATGGATGCTAGAAAATATATCCATTATTGGAAAGTTATTGGGAGAAGCAATTCTCAATGAAAGTGCAATATGCGCATGATTGTACTTTGACAAACACATTCGATTAAATAATACATTCTCAAGAACGTGTTAACTGAAAATAGCTTAGGACCAATACATCGTATATCATCATTGAAATAGTATCAAGAATGTACTTTGATATCTATATGAAACCATTGGTGTAATCTTTATTCATCCCTTATAAAATAATTAAATGATTGATGATAATAACATTTCTAAAGGAATTGGAAATGTCAAAAGTATCACTCTAACACTCAAAAGTATTACAAGAAGACAAACCAATGTATTAATTGGAAACGAACCCACGTCCAAATGGAAAAAGTTAAAATAAGGCTAAGTTATCTTCTTTTCAAAAACTGTCGAAATGAAAATCCATGAAATACATGATTACTGTAACTAATATAGAAAAATTTCCATTTCCATTGGTCTGTATTTTATCAATAATATTGAAACCATTTTTATATGGTTTCACTAATATTGTCACGTTCACTTTAAATAAAGGGGTTGACCCCGTAATTGCTTTATGTAACTGTGGCACGACAAATTTGGCCTTTTTTTAATGACTTTTGTGGGAAGGCAGAAAACCTGGCTCCAAAAACTTTGGACTGCATAGAGAATATCTGAACTAATTGTAATCTGCCTCCATAACTTAACAACTTCGCAGTCCAATGCCTGATCTTCCCTAGCATTTTATCAAGAAGAGGTTGATATTGGAGGATAGAGAGCCTCTTAGAGTTGAGAGGCACTCCCAGATACCTAAAAGGTAATTTGCCTTCTTTAAGTTGAACAGCTTCAGTAATATCCCTTTTTTTAACCTCACTCAGACCACCAAAGTAGATTTCACTTTTATCCAGGTTTGCCTCCAAGCCAGAAGACTGACTAAATTTTTCAAAAGTATTCAAAATTGCAGCTACAGATTTCTTTGTTCCTTTAGAGAAAAATAAAAGGTCATCTGCAAAGGATAAATGGGTGATACCTAATCCTGCGCACCTGGGATGAAATCTGTAATCTGGATGAGTGTGCAAGTGCTTGAGCATTCTGCTGAGGTATTCCATTGCTAGAACAAACAGATAAGGAGAGGCAGGATCGCCTTGTCTCAACCCTTTTCTGGCAGAGAAGGGTGATGTAACTTGACCATTTATACAAATCCTATAAGAAACTGTCTGAATGCAAGTCATAATCCAGTTAACAAACCGACTAGGAAATCTAAAGGCACGGAGCAATTGCTCAAGGAAGCTCCATTGGACAGAATCATAAGCCTTTCTTAAATCCAGTTTCATCATACATCTAGAAGATATCCTCTTTTGCCCGTAGCCCCTAATTATTTCTTGTGCAAGTATAGTGTGCAGGGCTCACTAAAACATCCATAACAGGACTCAGTCTACTGGTAAGGATTTTGGCGATCAATTTGTACAAAACGGTGCAGCAGGAAATAGGTCTATAATCCTTAATAGTATTTGCAGTATCACTTTTAGGTATCAAAGTAATCAGTGTACTATTAACACTTTTAAGGATCTTCCCAGTTATGAAAAAGTCCTGTACTGCAGAGGTAACTTCATTTCCAATCACACTCCAAGATTTTTTGAAAAAGGCAACACTAAAACCATCATACCCTGGAGCCTTTTCATCACCAATTTGGTCCAAGGCTTCTTTGATTTCCTTTATTGTAACAGGCTGAATAAGAGCTCGTCTCTGCAACTGGTTCAGCACAGGCCCAGTATGTGCAATCCCAATATCAACCGCCCTTGTGGTGCTTGCAGGAGAGCCTGATAGATTCTTATAAAACCCCAAAATCTCTTCTTGAATCTCATTTGCAGAAGTAAGCTTTTGGCCTGCAGAATCAAACAGCACCGATATATGTAGGTATCTTCCACCTTCTTTCTTGGAAGTTGCCAAGAGACACCTTAACATGGAGGCACCTTCTTGGAAAGAGCTCTCCAACAAATAGGTGTGGGAGAAGATACAGAGATAACTAGGAAGCTTGGATGCAACTTCCTCATGTCTCCAAACCAGCCCTATAAATAGAGTGCTCCATTGTTGTTCATAGTATCAGTTTAGAAAGTGAGAAAATTGTGTGAAGAGTGAAATACACTTAGTGTAGAAGTTAGACCTGCACAAACACGGGCTCGGGCCGGGCTCGAGCCGGGCTTATTCTAAAAAATCTGCCCACTTGTAGTGGGCGGGCCCGGCCCGGCCCGGTAAAACGGGCCTCCTCATATGTCCAAGCCCGCCCATGAGAGCGGGCCGGGCTGCCCACCGGGCTTTTGGGCCCGGAAAATATCCTTTTGTCAACTTTGTTAAAAATTGAAAATATTTATAAAATAACATCACAACATTTTAAATGCAATTAAATAATTAATGTACTCACAACACATTTTGAACACAAGAATACGTTTAAATGCGAAACACAAAACGATTCTGGAAAATAAAAAGCATCCAAATTCCAAATAAGCATTCATATTCCATAATTAAAAGCACAATCACAGATTCACAATGTGCAACGGAAATAGTCAAGAGTATCTCCAAAAAGACATGGTAATGAAATTATACTTCCAACTATTTTAAGTTTTATACGTATAGTCATATAATGTATAATTATATATAAAATAATATATATAATATAATATGTTTACGGGCCGGGCTTTTAGGCCCGACCGGGCCTATATTACAACCCAAGCCCGCCCATATTTTAAACGGGCCGGGCCGGCCCCGGCCCGGTGGGCTAAAACATGTGTCCAAACCCGCCCATTTATATGGGCGGGCCGGCCCGGAATTGTGCAGGTCTAGTAGAAGTGTATTGGTGAAGATTGGTTTTTTGTAATACTTGAGTGTGAGAGTTTGCTCCTCCTATTGTAATTCTTTTCTTGATATTGAATAGAAGAATTTTCCAATCCCAACAAGTGGTATCAGAGCGAGGTGGAGTTTCCATACACTGTTTTCTCATTTTCAGATAAATTTCTACAGGTTAGAAAATTGTGATTTTTTAAGTTGCTCGGAATCAGGATCTGATCATACCGTTAGATTCGTCTCGGCGAGACGAGAAATCTGGTATTTTTGGGGATTTTTTGGCCACCGGAAGAGGCCGTACGTGCTGCCGGAAAACTGGCTGCATCATCACTGCGGCATCACGCAGTCCAGAGGAAGAAGACGATCCACGTCAGCTGCCACGTCATCGCCACGTTGGACCACGTCAGCGACACGCGGTGCCGAGTCATCCGCCACGTCATCCACCCGAGCCGTCCGCTGTGAGCCACGTCAGACGCCACGTGGCTACACGTCATCGCCACGTCAGCGAGGGAGCAGAGCCACGTCATTCGCCTGCTGGGCTGCAGGCTGGGCTGCTGCCTGAACCGGACCGAACCGGTTCGTGCTTTTGGAGGCCGGTTCACCCGTTTCCAGACCAGTTTTGGACGAGGTCAGACCGGTTCTTACCATTTTCGGCCATTTCGGATCCAACGGTGAGCTTCGTTTGTCCAAATTCGGCTTCGAAAATAAGGTACGAAATATATAGAGCGTTTTATTATGGATAAATCATCGTCGGACACCATGATTGCGCTCACATCCACAAACTACAATATGTGGAAGCCTCGGATGGAGGATTTGCTAAATTTGAGGGATTTAGCGGATCCTCTTGATAATAATGGTGTGAAACCGGATAAAAAGACGGATGAAGAATGGACCAAAATGAATCGAAAAACTGTCGCACAAATTCGACAATGGATAGATCATAGTGTGTTCCACCATGTTGCTCAAGAACAAAGTGCTTACACACTATGGGAGAAGCTTGGTAGCATGTATCAAGCAAAAACCGTCCGAAATAAGACGTTACTAATGAGGAGATTAGTAAACCACAAATTACGTGGGGGTATTTCGGTGTCAGAACACACCAGTCAATTCCAGGATCTTGTGAATCAGTTGAGCACCACCGGATGGGTTCTCAAAGATGAAGAGCAGGCGATACTACTCTTGAGCTCTCTACCTGACAGCTGGGAGACTCTTGTTGTCACTCTCGGTAATTCTGCTCCAAATGGGAAGGTGAATATGCAGATGGTCACAGATGCCCTGATGAATGAAGAAGCTCGAAGGAAGGAAGCCGGAACGGAACAATCATATGTCCTCATATCAGAAACTAACAGACGAGGGGGAGGCAGAAATGGAGGAAGAAGTCGAGGTCGAGGTAGAGGTCAAGGTCAAAGTAGAGGAAATTCTCAAGTTCGCGGAAGATCACAAGAGAGAGGTATGTCCTTTGAAAACAATACTTGGTTCGAAGGATATTGCAATTACTGTAGTAATTATGGACATAGGAAAAGAGATTGTAGAAAGTTTCTACAAGAGAAGCCACAGACGAGTCAAAATACTAGCCAAGAAGATGGTGAGACCATGGTTAGTTTGTCATCAGACGTGTGTCTTGTTACACATGGTGAACAAGAATGTTTACACGTAGGCACTCATGATGTTGAGTGGGTGATTGATACAGCCGCATCATTTCACGCCACTCCACACCAGAACTAATTCACAACTTATAAGTCCGGAGACTTTGGAGCTGTGAAGATGGGAAACACCAGTTTCTCGAAGATTGTTGGCATTGGTGATGTGCACATAATAACCAATGTCGGATGCGCACTTGTGTTGAAAGATGTTCGACACGTTCCGGATCTTAGATTGAATCTTATCTCCGGTACAGCTCTGGATCAACAAGGATATCTTAACCGATTCAAAGAAGGTACGTGGAAGCTATCTAAAGGTTCCTTGGTTGTTGCAAGAGGCCATATTTGTGGCACTCTTTATAAAACTCATGCAAAGTTGTGTCATCCGAGTCTCAATGCTGTTGAAGAAGAGATATCACCAAACTTGTGGCACCGGAGGTTAGGTCACTTGAGCGTGAAGGGATTGACAACTCTTGCAAAGAAGGAAGTCATTTCCATGGGCAAAGGTGTTGCCCTAGATTCATGCGAGCACTGTCTATTTGGGAAACAACACAAGGTTTCCTTCAGTTCTACCAAGAAGAACCATACAGAGTTACTCAGTCTTGTCCACTCTGATGTATGTGGACCCATTGAAGAGGAGTCACTTGGAGGAAGCAGATACTTCGTGACATTCATTGATGATGCATCACGAAAGGTGTGGGCCTACTGTTTAAATCGTAAGGATCAAGTGTTTGATCAATTCAAATCATTTCATGCCATGGTAGAAAGAGAAACATGGAAGAAGCTGAAGTGTCTGCGTTCAGACAATGGAGGAGAGTACACTTCCCAAGAATTCTCAGCATATTGTGCCGCATGATCAGACATGAGAAGACGGTTCCACGAACTCCGCAACACAATGGTGTAGCCGAAAGAATGAATCGGACCATTATGGAGAAAGTTCGTTGCATGTTGAGTCTGGCTAAGCTACCTAAGCCATTTTGGGGTGAAGCTGTGCTGACAGCTTGTTATCTTATAAACAGGTCACCTTCTGTTCCTTTAAACTTTGAAGTGCCAGAGAAGAAATGGTCAGGAAGAGATGTTTCTTACTCTCACTTGAAAGTGTTCGGGTGCAAGGCATTTGCACATGTGTCCAAGGAGTTGAGACGGAAGCTTGATCTCAAGTCAAACCCATGTATCTTCATCGGCTATGGAGATGAAGAATTCAGATACCGGTTGTGGGATCCTGAAGTGAAGAAAGTTATTCGAAGCAGAGATGTTGTATTTCATGAAAACGAGTTTCATGGGTGTGCTCCAATAATCCGCCAATAACATACTCCAGAAGACGAAGTGCCTGTATCATCAAACATTCCTCTCAGCGACGAGGAGATGCATGATTCTACTGAACACGAGAGTGATGGTTCAGCAGGTGATGATGATACTCACAGTGATGATATTCCTCAGCAGGGGGAGCCTTCATCTGAAGACGAATCTGAAGGTATTCATGTTCGACGTTCTATGCGAGGCATAGTTCCACAAAGAAAATACTCCACATCCGAATGGATACTTGTTGCCAGCGAGGGGGAGCCAACGAGCACCGCAGGAACGAGAGAAATAAAGAAAAAGGTGGAGGGGGAGATTTGTAGGTATCTTCCACCTTCTTTCTTGGAAGTTGCCAAGAGACACCTTAACATGGAGGCACCTTCTTGGAAAGAGCTCTCCAACAAATAGGTGTGGGAGAAGATATGGAGATAACTAGGAAGCTTGGATGCAACTTCCTCATGTCTCCGAACCAGCCCTATAAATAGAGTGCTCCATTGTTGTCCATAGTATCAGTTTAGAAAGTGAGAAAAGTGTGTGAAGAGTGAAATACACTTAGTGTAGAAGTGTATTGGTGAGGATTGGTTTTTTGTAATAGTTGAGTGTGAGAGTTTGCTCCTCCTATTGTAATTTTGTTCTTGATATTGAATAGAAGAATTTTCCAATCCCAACAATATATATATGATGAGCTTCTACTCTTTAGAGTAGCATAGAAGTACCTAGTATTTCCATCACCTGTTTGCAGCCAGTGTACTTTAGAGCGTTGTTTCATTATACTCCCTACTTATCTAATTAGATGACAATTACTTTTCACGGAGTTTAAGACAATTATTGTAGACTTTATAAAAAGTACTCCCTCCGTCCCGAAATTATCTTCATTCTTTCCTTTTCGGTCCGTCCCAAATTATCTCCTCTTTCCCTTTTTGATAAAGAATATGTGGTTCACAATCATTCTTACACATTTCTCTCTCCTCTGCACAACTCTCCACCACACAAATCACACTATCTCAATCCTCGTGCCTAGTCAAAACCGAAGTTAATTATGGGACGGAGGGAGTAGGTTTTTGATACTGTAGCGGTACTGTAGCGGTACT